GTATTTGCGCCACTACCAGTTCTCATGTCTCAGTTAGGAGTCATTTAATGCGAGTGACTGAGATTCCCTGAGAAGAAGAATTTAAAGTATCCCAGACAATGGTATGGCTAACAGCAGCTTTGTCGTGAGACTGCTTTTTAGAATTTATTTTAAGGATTGTTGACAGGCATGAGTTTTGCTAGGGCTTCGGTATCCGTGGTTTCGGCCGTGAGATTGGGTCAGAGGCAAAACCATCTCAGCATTGGAGTTTAATGTCTTTTTCTGTGTAAGACAGTAGAATAAATGTGAGAAGAAGCTTACAACTTAAAACCGTCGGTGATAATGAGATGGTAAGAAAGGGTTGTTGTGATTTTTCTCAAGTATCATTTGGCAAATCTGAAGAAAGAAAGCTGGGAAAGCTTGACTGCAAGTTGATAGAGTCAACAAATGAGTCAGTGAAGGGAATGTGGCAGGTCTCCCTTAGTAAAAGACTTTATTACACGATCTCTTACTCTCAATTACCCTAATTTGAAGTAGGGAGCTAATGAATATTGCTAAATGGATTGAAACAAACAGCAGCACCGTGGACAGAAAATAATCATTATGAACTGCGGCGCATCGACTGCGGCAAATTTCTCACAGATGTGTAGATTTTAATGCCGGGGTGCCTAACCTAACTCCTGCTTAGTGCAGGGCAGAAGACCATGACCAGCAATTTCTGGTGGCAGCAGTAACTTCTATCAGTAGCAGTGCATACCTTTTAGATCACATTGCAGTAGTTACAAATTATCCCATCCCCAGGCTGTTCTTTCTCTTTGTTAATTACGCTCACTGTTCTGATAGGCCTGCCTGCACTGCAGAGGGACAGGGAGGTATGACAGAATCAGAGAATACCCAGAGCTTAAAGGCACCGCCAAGCCCAGCTGCCGGTTCCACACGTGACCACCCAAAAATCAGACCCTATGTCTGAGAGCGATGTCCAAGCGCTTCCTGAACTCTGGCACTCCTGGCCGTGCCCACTGCCCTGCGCAGGCTATTCCATGCCCACCCTGTCCCTAACCCCCAGCTGCCCTCCCCTGATGCAGCTCCGTGCCGTTCCCTCAGGCCCTGTCTCTGTCACACAGAGCAGAGCTCAGCGCTGCCATTCTGCTCCCTGTGAGGGGCTGCAGCTGCCATCAGGCCTCCCCTCAGCTCCTCTGCTCTGCACTGAACCAACCAGGGGACTTCAGCTGCTCCTCATACACCTTGCCCTCCAGACTGTCCCATCTTTGTGGCCTTCCTTTGGATGCCCTGTTAATGTCCTTCTTACACTGTGACACCCAAACCCACACCCAGTGCAGGAGGTGAGGCTGCACAGGGCAAAGCAGAGCAGGACAACCCCTCCCCCTGCCCGGTGGCTGATGTTCCCCAGGGTATAGTTGGCTCTTAGGGCTGCCAGGGCATGCTGCTGGCTATGTGAATGAGTGGTGCTGCTTGCTCAGAATTACACACAGGGGCAGTGGCAGCCCTCATTTGACTTCTGGGGAGGATGCTTTGGACTTTCTATGAGCTGTAGACTTTCTATGCATGATGGTAAGCGTGCTGTTCTTGCTCCATGTATGCTCAGGGAGAGGAAAAGGGTTGAAGAGTGTGTGTGCTTTTGAGGTCCTTATCGCTCTGCCAGGTACCTCCCTGTGCTGGGAACCTGTGATGTGCTTGTTTGGTCAGAGAGAGCAGTCAGGGACCAATGAGGATTATTCTGAGCCTCTTTAATGAAGTGAATGTCTTTGTCGATGACTTAGAACTGGGGATGTTGATGAGCTTTTCAGAAAATCCTTGAATTTGATGCACTGGAATTGCCAGAGTCAAAAGGAAATTTGGAAAAGTTAGAAATATGGAAAGGAATATGAAGCTGTATCCTAACAAAGTGGAAGACTAGGGAGGAAGAAAGAATAATCCAATGTCTCATTTCAGAGGGGAAAAAAAGGATGAGAAAAGAGTTCCAGTGAACTGAATGGGAAAATGCATTGGAAAAAAAGCCCAGTTTTCAGTGGAGTATCAGTTACAAAGCACATGTGCCTTGGGTCGTTATTTCATGTGATGCAGGGAAGGTGATAGTAATTTCTGCTCTACGTGCGTGCCTAACGCTTTCCTGGATGTTGGATGAAGTGGAAGAAAAGCTAGCTGGAAACTGAGCATTTTGCAATGATGGCTAAATTTAAATAGTTGGTTCCAAGACTTCTTGCTTGTAGCCCAGCACCGATCAAACCAGTTCTGTTAAGAGCCCTTTTCAACCTCAAACTTTGTTCCCAGGCTGAACAGCTGGCATGACATTCACTTCAAAACACACCCAAACAAATAGCAAGTTTCTGACCCCAAGCTTGCCTCTCCCTGCTAATCTGATTCCTTTTAAGGGTAGGAGCTGGTGGGTAATGTAAGTTTTTTGTGAAAGCCTGTGTGTAGCTGAGTATGAGAGTGTCGGGTTTTACTGGGGGCGGGCTGTTAAAAATGGCATGTCCTAGCAGCCTGTATCCAGTTTCTGGAAAAATTGCCAGAGATGACTTTTGCTCTCTTAATATTGTATAGCTGACCATTGCTGACATGCCTTTTTAAGGTTAGGCTCACGTCCAACATGAACAAGAAAATTTAACTCTCTCATGGGTCCTTCACAGTTCATTTCAATGTTTGGCATGGCCATGTCTGCCTTACCCTTGCATCTAAATTAATCCTACAGTGAAGAGAAGCTACTATGTGTGAACAGTCACAGAACTCCATTCAGAGTAATCTAAGAGTGCTTTCTCGTTGTGGTCCAGCCCTGCCAGATGTTGATGTCCTCATAAAATCCAGCAGTGGTCCACAGAGAAGTCATCAAAGAGCATGACAGTCACCAACAAACACATCAGAGGAGGGGGACAATGAAGGCATTGATACAAGGGATGTCACCTCCGGCAGCAGGAAGTGGCAGCTTGTCATCCAAGTCCACTGTTGCCCCTAGCCTGCTCCTGCAGACGTTAAAGTGGGGCCATGGCCTTGTGGCAACTCATCACGTGCCAGCTGAGCAGGGGTTGAGGTTGGAGCAATATGGAAATGGAAAAAAGGAAAGGGTTTCCTAATCCACTAGTAAAATGTAGCTACCTTGAGTGAGAAACACAACTTAATGTAGCCATCTTACAGGCGTTGGTTCAGAAATCAGTTTACAGGAATAAGTAAATATTGCAGGTTTTCAGAGCTTTGCTTCCCAGCTTGCTCTGGGAATACTTTTTTGCCGAGAAACGCAACATGATGGATTACTTTTATTCATCCAGAGCCCGGTGCCTTTGTGCAAATAGGTAGGATATGAAGACCAGTGTTAGCGTGGCAAATTGTGTTAGAGTTTGGGGAGGGTGGTTTATGCCTGAGTGGCTGTGCTTTTACAACACTTCTGCTATGTAGTGTGCTTGTGAAGTGTAGGGGCTTGCAGGGGTGTTTTGAAGCCCTGTGTGAAGGAGCACAAAATAATGAAAAGTGCTTGCCAGCTGATGGAAGATCAGACTTTTCCCATGGAGAGTTTGAGAGCTGCCAAGAAAGTGAGGTCATCTACATCCCTTATCCACACATCTCCTTTTGTAGGTGCAGGGGACTGCCAGCAGCATCTCAGGTAGTGCCTAGAGATGTGTGAAAGGCAACTAAATGTGTAACCACTACTTCTTCCCACAGAATACTAGCGGATCACAGTTCTCTCTAATGTTTAACTCTGACAGATCTATTCCATGTCTGTCCTTAAAACATGTTTTGGTGTAAGTTTGTGGCATGCACAGTGAAGGTGTGTTGTTAGGCTTCTGGTTGGCAGGATCAGCTACACAATATTGTTCATGTTTCCTGATGGCTCAGGGGATGCACAACTGTCTCTGGGGTGAATATTTGTACATATGAACTTAAAACACGGTTTCCATCACTGTCATTCACTTTCTCAGAGCTCTATTGCCCATCAAACTCAATTGCTGAAGTATCTGTGGGAAGCCAGTGATGTTATGTGAATGTGGTCTCCGAAAATTCATTTAAAAAATTGTAAAACAATGCTCACTGGAGGAAAAATGAAGTATTTCTGAATTACTTGACTAGAGTGGGCGTTATAAACTCATTTGATCCTCTTCCTGTCATCATATTTTCATGACTATGTTTTATATATGTATGTATGTATGTGATATTACCATTCCTGTGATCCCCAGAAAGAGTCTTAATCATCCAGACCGTAAAAGCAACAAACTCTTAGGGCAAAAGCAGAGCTGTTAATTTTGCACTTTGAAGTCACATTTTTTTCCTCCAGAGGGTGATCAGTCCATGGAACAGGCTTTCTGGGGCAGTGGGCATGGCCTCAAGCTGCCAGAGTTCAAGATTTGGACAATGCCCTCAGTACCCATGAAATTTGGGTACTCTTGTGTGGAGCCAGGAGTTGGACTCAGTGATGTAGGTTGGACGGGGCTCTGAGCAGCCTTATCTAGTAGGTGGCAATCATTTCCACTGTAGGGTGTTTGAACCAGCTGGTCTTTAGGTTCTCTTCCAACCCAAGACATTCTATCCCATTCTATGGTTCTATGATTTTATCCTTGTGAGTCCCTTCTGATGTGAGATATTCAGCAACTATGAAAAATATGTAAGGAGAGATTATGTAGTCTGGCATCTTTTCATCAGTTGCATTTTAGCTATCTTAAAGATCAGCTTTGAGTTTCCATGAGTATTGCCTCGCTCACATATTCTGAAAGAGGAAATGATTTGCTTATCCTTCAAGCTCCAGATCAGCCGTTAATTTTCAGTACTGCCCTCACTATCTCCCACATCTGTCTCTTACCCCATTCAGCTGTCCCACTGTGCTTTTTGGAGAAAGGGAAGGACTACAGGCATGACTTTGCCTTGATTTGTTACTTTGTTAGTCTTGGCATTCTTTATATTTTTAAATATAACTTTTCCTTTTATAGGATCAAGTACTTCTCTTTTAAAAGCTTGGTGAAACACATTTTCTGCTGCAGATTAGCAAACAACCACAGTACAGAATTGACTTCTGACACCATTAAGACACCATTAAGAGAAGAAAGTGCTGGAATGATTTGAGGTGTGAATTTGATGGAGGTGAAGACGAGAGTGAGTATTTCTGTTAAATGGCAGTTCCATCTCTCACTGGAAAATACAGTTTTCAGAGATTGTGCTAGACCCAGCAGGTAAGGCTCTTGAGAAGGAAAAATGCAGAATAAAAAGTTTTCAGCTGTTTTCTTTTTCCCCTCAGAGCACTTTGGAGTGCTGCCATTTAAATACTGAGTGCCTATCGAAGGGTTGAATGTAATATGTAATGTTGATTTAGGCCACAGCTATAAGGTAGTCCATCCATGCATCCATCTGCTGCAAAGCAATGAACACAAACTCTGGAATGACAGGCCAGCCTCTCTGCTTTACTGGCTGAAGTAAATATCCTCCTGTTGTGATATGATAGCTTGTCTGCCCTTGACCATGGATTCTACGAGTTATAAGTTTATAGTCTGTCAGCCAGTGCAAACATCCATCCATCCATCAACTATTCCTTGCTTGTTCTACCTACAAGAACTAGGAACGCAGTAAGGTAAGAGTGGCACAGAGAGCTTGTTGGCTTTGATGCATGTGTTTATGCAGCAGAGAGCTGGGATGGAATGGTCATGGTCTCAAAGATCATCAAAACCCAATCTATGAATGTGTTTAGATTGTAGAGAAGTAGCATAAAGAAAATCCTTATTCTCATTTTTTTGCTCTCCAGACACTACCTCTCTAAGTGCCTGCAACACAGTTTTTCAAGTTTGGACCACCACTTGTCAGCAATATCACTTAACAGCCAAATTATTTGAGGGAAGTGATCTGTGAATATGCTTTCAATGAGCTCCTGGCTTTCTCACTGCATACCTCTTTGGCCAAGGTGGCACCTTAAGAGATGGGCATGCTCAAGTCTGTACATACGTCAGTAAAAGTTTGTACCAGGACTAATACTTTCCCCTTGCTGCATTATGTTGGCAGTGGGTTGGCCCACATGACATCCTCATATCTGTGCTGAAAATCCCCAAACCAAAACTCTTTCGATCCCTGCAGATTCTAACAGCTGAAGATCCTTGCTCCAGTGTCCTCATCAAATTCCACTTTCATTCTCTGTGCCTCCTTTCAGGCTCCTTGCTGGAGTGCAGTACCTTACTAGTCTCCAGCTTCCCAGCATAAAGAATCCCTGGGGATGGGAGATTGTGTGGAGAGAGGAAGGAAGGGCACTTCCTTTGGGTGGACAGAGATTTGAGGTCAGCAGAAGGGAGCCTGTGAAAGCCAGAAAGTGGGAACAAGGGATGAAGTTCAGATTGGGTATTGGAAGGGGAGGTATGGGCAGGGAGATAGGCTGGAAAACCACATCTTATGAGAGCTGAGTAGTGATGGGAAAACTCTGCAGTGATTGTTAGCCATGGATTCTCACGGTCTCTTAGGACCTTGCGTCTTAAAAAGCCTTTCAAGGCTGTGGACAAGAAATCAGGTGCTCAGGGGACCTTTTTGCTGCTGGATTGGCCTTAGATAGCAAGTGGTCTCTGTGTGTAAAAGTGTGCTTGATAGAGGATGGAACCATACCGGACAGCTGCTCTCTAGACAGCTCCTTCTGTTCTTGGTAGCGCAGGGGAGCTGGAGGGTTTTCTGCTAGCTAGTCAATCAATCATTTCCCAATGTTTACTATTTATCCCCCTGGCCAAGCTGTCCCTTCATCCTTGCCACTCTGGGCAATGGGAATTTGGGTGATCTCTGAGCAGCAGAGGCTGGCAGGCAGCCTGATAGATGCTAGCAGCTCATTCTCCAGCCATGTGAAAGGCAGAACACCAACAAGAAGAGATGGAGTTAGAACTTTATTAGGAGAAACCTAGGCGCAATTGACTAAAATCACATGTTAAGAAGAACACACAAGTCTTTCCAAGATTAAAAAATACATGTTTATAAGACACCTTACCAACAAAAAACATGGTTTTGCCCTTTCTGTATATGGGTATGTATGCACATGTACAGGGTACTGAACTATGCAGGAGCAAGGTTCACAAACCTGTAGCAGCTCCTGGGAGAGGGAATGGCTCAGTCCCTGACGATCTGGTCCCAGGCCATTCACTCACACAGTCCAACACTGGGAAGCTGCAGCCCATGTCTGAAAGGGCAGTGCAGGGTAAACAACAGGCAGCAGCGTGGCTTTGGTTGGTCTCAGTATGTCAGCTCTGCAGTGAGAAAACATGTCCAGGGTGGAAGCTGCCTGCAGACCTCACCCACCAGGCTCACTGCGCAGTGTTGGGCTTCAGCGGCTGCTCTGGGAGGTTGCAGTGGTGAAAAGAGGTGGTCTGTGGATGTTTCTTGTATGCACTAGCAGTAAAGATGAAGATGACCTGTTTGCAGAACAGAGATTTGCTGAGAGGACAAATATCACTGCTTGCAGTGGCTGACAGGTTTGAGAGAGCAGCCAGGAGCTCAGTGATGTGCAGGACCTGGGCAGGACTCTTGCTCCTTGCAAAATTTGCTGAAGTATTTTGGTAGGGTGGTGGCAAGAAAATACAGGCTGTGCCTGTTCTGCAGATAAACAGAAGATGTTTTTCTCCCAGGTCGGCAGCTGGTAGCACCCTTTTGGAAGCATTCAGGTTGCTTGAAAGATGAGTTTAAAAGGTGGAAAAATCACTTTGTTTCCATGTGATAATTCCTCTCTCTTAAGCAGTTGGATATCTGTTCTCACAGGACAATCTCTATTTCTGTTAGTGGGTGTCTTGCTTATAATTGATGACAAGTATGTTGGGAACATTCCCTAGTCTTCATCAACCAGTCATCTGAGCGATATCCCAGGGCCATGAGGCCAGCTGCTCTGCTGACTTAGGAATGAGGAAGGGATTCCAAAGTTAGACATGAGGCAGCTGTGCTTGGGGGACCATGGGCATCCGTATCCAAGGGGAAGAGTTTAATGCACAGTGTCAAAAATTCAAGTTGGATTTATTGTATAAGTAAACTGGATTAAAATATCTGGACTTAAGTGGAGAAGGGGAGGGGGTTAAAAAGAGAAAGAGTAAAGAAAAAGAGGAAGTCTTTCTGAAAGTGTGTTTCTGATCCCTGCAGGTGAGAGGAACTCAGTGTAACTGCCCACCTGTTTTAGCCCATGTTGAACAGACATCAAAGAAGATACAAGAGGGTTGAGGTCCAGTCAATCTGCTGAACAGAGTGTTGCAGTGACGATTGCCTCACATTTGAAGCATCCAGGCAGCCTCAGGAGTGTGCCAGTCTGTGGCTGAGGTCGATGAGTCCCCAGTCCCCTTGAGTCCCACGGGCTGAGAACTTCACATCTGGAGACTGGTGCCTCTCTTCAACCTCCAGGTATGCGTGGTCCAGGGGCTGCCCCTGCCTTAAGCCGGGGAAGTGCTGTCTGAATTACAACAATGACGTTCACTGAAAAGGAACAGGAGGACATTGAAATGGAGAGAGGTTTGTGGCAAGAGTCTGCAGTTTACTTTGCAGAAGTTTTCCTAAGTGCCTGGAGACCACTCCTCCTCCCTTCTGGGGAGACAGGTCACACAGACAAATCGTCTGACCTCGCCTTGCTGCTGGCACGGCTGGCCTTGCTGAAGCGGCGTTTCTCATTGAAGTAGCTCTCAGGAAGGGCAGGTGCCGCACATTCATTGGCAACCTCTGGGCTTTCCATGTAGCTGGACTTCATGAAGGGCCCTTCCCCAGCAGCATCCTCCTGGCTGTGGACCCTCTCAGTGGCGAAGTTGGCTGTATTCTGCTGAGAGGCCATCTTGTTGCTGAAGGGGCTGATGAATTTCCCATTGGGACTTGCCAAACACTGATTAAAATCTGGTGGGGGAGTGTACATCTGGGCCCTTTCTACCTGTGGGGCAGACTCCAGCTTTCGAGGAGCTGTGCTAGGGCTGGGCTTGTAGGCACGGGAGCACCTCTCTTTGGCTTTCTTCCAGCCCAAGTGGTATAACTCAGCCAGGCTGAGGAACAGGGAGAGCACGGCCACAGCGAGCATGAAGATGATGAACACGTTCTTCTCTGTGGGACGGGAAACATAGCAGTTGACAGGGTGGGGGCATGGTGCCCGTTGGCAGATATACAGGGTCTCCAGGAAGATCCCATACAAGATGTATTGTCCCACAATGAAGGCAACTTCCATGGCAGTGCGAATCAAAATACTGTAAACGTAGGTGTTCAGCAGACTGCCTCTGAGTATAATTTTGCCTCCTGATTCATCCCAGCAAGACAACTCAGTCTTCTCTGCCACAGGGCACTTCTGCTGATAGTACGTGTCGCCATTGTTTTTCATCTCCTGGGCCTCTCTTTCTGCTTCCTTCATCTTCCTCTTCTCCTCCATCCGCACCGTATGCATCGCATGGCCCATATACACCAGGGATGGGGTGGAGACGAAGATGATCTGAAGGACCCAAAAGCGGACGTGGGAAATGGGGAAGGCCTTGTCGTAGCAGACGTTCTCGCAGCCAGGCTGCTGGGTGTCACACATGAAATCGGACTGCTCATCCCCCCAAGAGGACTCAGCTGCTGTACCAAGTACCAGCATCCGGAAGATGAACAGCACAGTCAACCAGACCTTCCCCACCACTGTGGAGTGCTTGTGGACCTCCTCAAGGAACTCTCCCAGGAAACTCCAGTCCCCCATTTTTGCTCACCAGGAGTGGGTAGAAGTCCTGAAGGCAGAATTGGAGACAGCCTCTGAGGGAGAAAATAGAAGAGAGTGATTCTAAGGTTAGCAAATGTCCAGCTAGGGATGCATGGAGTAAATTGATTTATCTTGTATCAAAAGAAATGTTTTTATTTGACCTGATGTGATGAGCAAAGTGTTTATGTTGGCTGTAGACTTTGTTTCACATTCACTGAAGACAATGTGTGTTGGCTGGCTTTTTTTTTTTTTTTTTTTAATTCAGTTACTGAAACAGAAAGGGACTTTCTTAGCACGATCCGTCTGCAATCTGTAAATGAGCTACTAAAATTCTGAGGGTGAGCCAGATTTTTTCTTGCTTCAGAAAGTCCTTTCACCACAGTCTGCATACTGTGTCCCCTGTGGATTGTGTAGTTAAAGCAGTATTCATCCGTCTGCAAACAGTACTCTGGAGAATCCCTAAATGGATTGATCCTCTGGGAGATAAGACTGGAGCATACAGCTTGGTCTCAGCACTGCTTGGGCTCATTCATATGTCACTTTTACATAATATTTGCACTGACACTTGGAACGTGAAGGCCTCGCAGATCTGGGCTTCATTTCTGAGCTTGGTGTCACTACTGAAAGAAACACGTAGAAAGTCTTCCTGTTGCCCACCTGCCTTTTGCCCATAGGTTTTGCTTTGGTTTGGCTTGGCAGTATGACTAGTTTCGACTGTTTCATTACAAGTTTGAACTGTTTTGGGATGTGTAGAGACTTCGGATTGCTGTGATAGTGTTGTTATCCTATTCTGCAGCCACACTGCCATACCTGCCCAGGAGGGATCTGCCTAGTCATAATGGTAGATCTCATTCCTTTCCCTTAAGCCCTGAGACAGCGTTCACTATTTAAGTTATATAGACAAAGAAAAAAAAAGTCTTCCTGTATTGCTTCCCAGCAGACCAGCTGTTCCTGGGAACTAGGATTTAGAAGGTGGTTGCTGAGAGGAAGAAAGGTTAGTTGAGCTGGTAGTATGATGGCAGAGTCAGGATGGAGGAGAGCCTACTTCAGTTTTGTTTCTGACTCTGGCAGATTGTTTCTGGCCAAGTGACTTAACTCCCTGGATAAAGGAGAATGATAGGTTTAATCTGTCTTTTGTGGGGCTCTTATGTAATAATTTGGTCCAGTTAGGCTGACCATATGTATCTTCTGAGGGCACTGAGAAGCTTTTCGTTGTGCACGATTAGGGGCAGGGCTCTAAACAGTGGGCAGAATTACCTTGAAGATAATTCTCTCCCACAGTTCCTCTTTTTGAAGATAAGAGGAACTTATTTCATGTTTTGAATTAAATAGAAAAAGCTTTTTAATTAATATATGCGAACATATATATGCGAATAGTCGTGGTAATGAAATACTAAAAGTACTAGACAAGGTAAACCTCAAAGTTATAGGGACCAAAAGAGTTAATGCTCCTTTGTTTTCCCTTTTCTCATATTTGAGAACCAGTTATTTTTGCCATGCAAAGGCTGTGGAGAGTAGACACTTAAATGCTGAAAATTTACTGCAGTAATATTGTGTAGATTTCCTGTGAGCAAAAGCTGGAGAGGATGGAGATATGATTGCTGAGAGAATGATACCCCTCCTCCAGCTATGTAACTGGTATAATTTAATGTAGCAATGCACACCATGATTTACACCATTACTTGTCTGTGCACAGCGTCAGTCTGCAAGGATGGGTGGGACGAAGATCAAAAACTGAATCCTTAACCTGCTGATGCTACTGAGGGCTGCCCTGAGGATTTCCCAGCTAAGCAGATGGAGAGGATCTCCTGCTGCCCCTCTGCCTGTTGGAAGCTGTGGGAGGAGGGAGAAAGTAGGAGCATATAGAGAAGCCAAGGATGGGATGGGCTGTGGCTCTTTGCTGGCAGACATACCGCAGTCATATGAATGTAGATCCTGGAGACTTCTGGGGTATGCTGAAGCTGTTTCATCTGCTGCCAGTCAAGAACCAGAGGAGCAGCAACACAGAAAATCATTGTATCTTGCTAACTCTCTCCCTGCTGGCACTGGTAAACTGAAAAATCTGAGGGCCTGTCTTCTGAAATGATTTTGTACCAAATGACTTTGCACCAAAGGACTTCGGTACAGTTACTGCATTGGGGAAATTATCGTATGGCTTTGTTCTGTTAGCCCCATGGAATTCAATACAGACAGATAAATCAGTGATGGGAGATATTTACAGAGAGTTGCATTAAAACCCAGGATTTTTTTGTTTGTTTTTTTTCAGATTGATGACAAGGCATCCCCTATTGAAGGCTTCTACACCTAGACACTGGCAGATATTACAGTCAATGTGTACAGAACATGAACTTGGCAAACACGAGAGCAAGAGGAATCCAGAGATTAAAAATGACACTGGACACGTGAGTGACAGTCAACTATTTGCGCAATATGTTTCAAAAGGAGGTCAATCTAGATGACCAATGTTGGCAGCTATGAGGCTTGGACTGGGCAGTAGGACTATTCCTTCTGTCCTTCCCTTCTGCCTGCTCCCCTGCAGGGTTCAGGGGCTGCCCAAAGAGCAGAATGCCTCCTGTTGTTCCTGCTGCAGCCCCAGAGAGCCAGTGGGCTGCTACAAGGGGATAGGTGGACAGCAAGGAATGAGTGTTGGATACCAAGAGAAAGTGATTCCTTCTTAGTGTGGTGCTTTTGGCTTAGCAGTTTTTAGGTATTAGTGAGCTATTCTTGTGGTGCCAGTCAAAGAACCTCTGACAACAACAGACGAAAGCATCTAGTTCTGTGCTGCCAGCAAGCAAAGAATTATTGTCACCTCCTGACAGCCTTTCCAGGCTATGCAGGACAGACTCTGACCTAGCCATTTTCCTCAGGGCTTTACTATTCTTGGGAATTTTCCATATAGTTCCCTCTCCTCATTCCCAGACTTTTATCCCCTCATGCTTCGACCTCTCAGCATGTGAGCATCTGTAGATTTTATATTCCTACTTTGGACGTAATTGGTCAAATCTCATCTCTCTCTGGTGTGACTCAGCAAAAAATACCTTTGGGTATCTTTGTGAGGTCTCAGCACCTGATAGCAGAGGCTGCCTGACAGCAGTCATGCATATTCATGCAGTGTCTTGGGCTGTGCCACCGTGCTGTCGTGCACTTGGCTGGCAGCTTTCTGCTGGATCAACAAAGGAGTTGTGTGCAGCCGGGAGATCTTGGCAGCACCAAACGTGTATGTGACAAAGACCAGCATAGCCCAGCATAAACCCAGCGATGTGGCTGTCCTGCCTTAATCATCACCTGGAATGCAATTAAAGCTGGGAAAAAAATAACAAGTATCAAAACTGCAGACCAAGCATGGCATCCACCCAGCTCTGAGCCTTGTGACTGCCAAATTCCAAGATAAAAATACCCCAGCAGGACAGCACCTGCTACTGTGCCAGGCTGGCTTGCCACCGAAGTATGGCTCTCCACTATCCTTTCCTTGTGCTACCTTCCTCTGTGAGAGGAGAAGTGTTCGTAGCTCTCAGGGCAGTTTTGCCTCTCGTGTTCCTGATGCCACGTGCTGTGAATGGCAGGCAGGCATTTTGCATCTCTGCTTCTTGCTCTGGCAAGTGAGCTGGGCTGGGCAGACTGAATGGAGCTGTGGAGAGCTGCTAAGAAAGCTCTACCACAGAGGCAAGAAAGGTATTCCTGCCCAGTGTTCTTCTTTATAAGAGTCGGATTCCCCAGGAGTTGTTAGGAATCCACTGTTTCTCCCTCTTTAGAAGACAGGCGAGACTATCAGCAGTGATATAAATAGCTGGGCTCAACACTTCACACTAACTTTTCCCACAAGGAAGGTGACAGGAGGTCGACATCTCTGCAGGCTGTTTCTAAAATAAAGTGGAGAGCCTGATTATAATACTGTTCTGCTCTCCCTCTCTCAGCCCGCCTCTTTCCCTTGGCAAGTCCCAGGCAGGCTCAGAGAGGCTGTAGAGAAAAGGGCTCCTTTGTGTGAGGGAAGTATGATTCCCAGAAAGGTGAGAAAGTAATGGATTCAAAGTCAATGCATTTTGTTCAAGGCCGTGCAGCAGGTCCCCCACACTGAGCTAATGAAAGCCTCAGTCCTGTTTAGTGGAGCATTCCAGCCAGCTGCGGCAAGGCCAGTGCCTGGGAGTTGCTTGTGGTCTGCCTTCCTCCAGCTGTGCCACTTCCTATCAGGTCCAGGCAATTTGTGGCACAGCAGATAGCTACTGTAGAGGCACGTGGCAGAGGTCTTTTCCCTTGCATTAATAACTGTCAGGTTGCAGCCAAACCTGAGTGCTCCCAGCACTGTAAATTTGGCTGTTCACACCTGTAGGCACTTAGAAAGAGGCTTCCAGCTCTACGCTGCCAGGTAGTTAACCCAGATTTGCTTTACAGCTGTACATTTCACTTAGCAATCTCCAATCCTCCATTAGCAGCAGTATAGTCTCTCAGCATCCCACTTAGGTGCAGAAATGCTCAAACTGCTTGTTCAAGGTCACTGTGTCACTGGAAGCATGGGGATATGGGTTGTGACTTGCAAACCTATGGCCTTTTTTTCTGTATAGCTCTGCTTCTTAGACTTTTTGATAGTGGCACAGCACTGCTTCTACAGTGCTAGGACATGGGCTTCTACAGACCAAAGCCACAGGGCAAGTTGATGCCTTTCTTGCTTGTATCTCGAGACAATACTTTCTTGAACACTAGGTTGGTTGGGGCCCTGGACAGCGTAATCTAGTGGAGAGCAACTCTGCCCCCAGCAGGGGGGTTGGGACTAGATGATCTTTGAAGTTCCTCCCAACCCAAGCCATTCTATCGTTCTGCAATCTGAAATAAATTCCCATCATGCTACTCTTCTGTAGCAGGGACGCCTGGCAGAACCAGAGTTGTGGTTTTCCAAGAAGTGACCATCTTGTTATTGCAGCAGAGCCCACAGCCCTGGGTCAGTGTCCCAAAGGAAGCTGACTTTTCAGTGTACAAATACAGTGCTCCTTTGTTGTCAGGACCTGGTCAGGGAGCAGCCTTCTAGGGGCACATGACTTACAACATTAAAAGATGAATAAATTTAGAAATGCTGTCTCCAGTGTGAGAGCGATGCTTTGAATTCCAGAGGCTTTTTAGAGCCATGGGACATAAACAATGCAATGGGATGTAAATCAATGCAGTGCTGAAGCCCATCTCAGTATGCACCTTTTTGTTCAGTTAGCTGGCATTGGCTTTTTCGTATGCATATACAAGAGATGAGCAATGCCACATCAGGTATCATCATCCAAAGCTTACCAAAATTTCTTCTCAGGAAGAATGGTGATGCATTGGCACACGCTGCCCAGGGAGGTGGTGGTGGAGTCACCGTCCCTGGGAGTGTTCCAGATAAACACAGATGTGGCACTTGGGGACATTGTTAGTGGACATGGGGGTGGTGGGTTGGTGATCTGACTAGATGAATTTAGTGATCGTTTCCAACCTGATTCTGTGATTCTGTGAAACCCCATCCCTATGGCTTCATATATATGTACATGTGCTCATGACAAATTTCTGCCTGAAATAGGCCAGTTTTTTAGCCTAAGTGGTTACTCTGATCTGAACTGTTATGTTCATGTTTCTTTCTGCTTACAAAAATAAAAGGAAGTCTGACATATTTGCTTGGCTTCCTTTCTAGTTCGTTGGGTTCTGAGTCCTGTCCTGAATAAGCAGCAAGGACAGTGACTTTGACTCCTGTGCTCATATCTCACAGGAGAGGCCCTTTGTTAGCACTCCTGTCCCAACAGACAGCCATCCTGTGCTTCTCATTTCTCTGTTCATCCTGAGTTCGCTGCAGATTCTGGAGGGGTCATGCTGATACCCAGACCATTGCCCAGCTTGCAGTTGCAGACAGCTTGTTATTCCTAATGAGGTGTGCCTTCCCCCTCCTCTCCAAATGTGGAAAATCTCAGAGTTCACAAAAAAGAGAGTGGGTGAGGAGATAAGGGAGCCGAATGACCTGTCACCTCCTGACGCACATGGGCACAAAGGGAGCTCACTCAACACTTCCAAGTGCATACATCAGGGATGTGTTACACACACAGATGATGGTATTATGTGGAATATTTACATCTGAAGTGATGGTGGAAACTACAGACTCGCCGTTTGCTGAACTGTTATTGCTTGTCTATACAGGATATGTACTGTTTTTGGTTTTGTTTTCTTTTTCTTGTCTGTAGACAAATTGTGCTCATATGTAACCGAGGCATTAGAGCCAAGCTCTGCCCTATGCACACACAGGAAACTAAAATCAGAGAAGACCTTAAACTCATCTGGGTCCAGCTGAGGAATGAATTTGTCCCTCTGTGTTTGAATGCCTGCTTGAAATAGTTACGTGATAGTGGCATCCAGGCATATACTTAGCATGCAGGGAGCACCCTCTCATTCTCTTGGGATTCTCTCTGTGCCTTGCAAATGTCGGCCCTTAGCCAAACAAATGTAATAGAACGGGACTTGGGATAAGCTAAATAAAGGTGCAGATGTGCTTTTTGCTAGAAAACAAACACAGAATTCTCTCTCTGATGTAAATGCTACAAACAGGCTGATGGATATGATTCCTTACTCCTTAACCAATATGTTGAAGAGCGTCCATTTTGGAATTACAGAGCTTGGTGTTCTTGACAGTTTATTTATCTCAGTAGGGAGAAGCTAACCTAGATGTATTTGCAACTGATACTAAATTGGGCAGTGCTGTGTACCAGAGAGGGGACAGCCAAACAAGGCAGAGGGAGCTGTGGGAGGCAGAAACATGTTGACAAATGTGGGGATTGCCGTAGTAAAGAAGTTCCTGAGCTCTGCTGACAGAAATTGTTTATGTGCGTTGCATTGTCCGTGGAGGAGGTTGGTGTAAGGAGACATTGAGGTGATGGTAAGCATCACACTGGACCTGATATAGTGGTAAAAAATCAGTCCTGGTGAGCTTAGGCTGTTTCACAGACTGCACAAGATACAACTCAGAGCAGTGTTGGAGTAAAACAGACTGTAGAGGTAATGGGAAAAGGAAAGGGCTCATGTTCAGACTTAGCACATCCCTTCTCTTCCTTCTGCCTACCCCTTCCCTCCTCTGGACCCTTGCCTCAGCTGTTTGGCTCTTTGATTACTTAACTCTCTGTGGTACTCGGGTTGCTAGTGCTTTCTGCTTTAGATTGAGGAATTTTCCAGCAGTCGTCTACTGCCCACTTAGTATTACCTCATCAAATCACATTTCTTCTTTCTGTCCGAAGAACCATAGGATTCTTTTCACACCCCAGCATCATTGCCGTAGCTTTGCCTCCAAGTATTTTGTTTCTCATTCAGAGCAGAGTATGGCTGTAGCTTGTGAGTGGGTTATTTTATATACTCAGGCTATGTGCATATATCTACATATATATATCCCTTTAACAAAAACTAATATTAAATTTTCAAAACCAAGCAGCAGAGAGTAATCAAGTAGTTACTTTTCTAAGTAATCTTAATTCAATCTTTTTGTGCCTGTGCCTCATAGCTATGAGCCTTTAACCACATCCTCACATTGTCACCTCATTCTTTGTACAGGATGCCTGCCTCATTCTGTGCCAGCCTGGCTGGGGCTTTCTTGCACAGCAGCTATTCAGTGTTTTGTTTTCTCCTTATTGTTCAGTGGGTGGCCTGTGCCTCATTTACTGTACATTATTCAAGTCCGATTCAAAAGACAGAATTATTCATTTCATCATGGGTTTTCCTACAACTTTCATCCCAACAGTACCTGATTGCTTCACAGTTATTTCTTTGCTTATTTTCATTACTACTTGGAGATATGGAGATGGTATTGTATCAATTTTACAACGGTCAGAGATTAAGATAAAAAATGTTCATTATGTTCAGAAACTGGTTGGAGATGTTGCTAGTCTGTTTTTTTTTCCCCCTCCATATTCTCAGACCTATATAACGTATGTTTGACACAGAGCTCTCTTTGGTTAGCAGTGGAGCAGGAGCATTTATCAGTTCCACCTGTTAGACCACATCCAAAAGGCACCACTGGGGGACCATTTGTGAACAAACCCAGATTGAGTGATTTTCCTCATCATGGCATAGGACACTGGAGTAAATAGCAAGAATAAAACCCAGTCTTCTTGGATAGCTTTATGTGTTTTTAAACTGGAGACAGTTTTTCTCCCATGCCACTATTCTCCCCCTTTTCCACCCAGACCTTGGGGCTCTGGAACATCCTGGCTGGACTGCTGTTTCTGTGGTCACTCTGTGTCCAGACAAAGGCATCTGCTGGCTTTTCTACTTCTAAGGGAGAAGAGCTTCATACAGAAATTCTCAACCGTTCTCAAGATATGTCCATCATGACAAAGGGGATGAAGAAAGAAGGAAATGTAAGTGTAAAACTCTTAGTTCTTAACATTAAAAAACCACTGAGACTTCTTGGAAAGTACACTGAAGAGACTTAAGAGGCACCATCTCTGTGTTTGCTTCATGCTGCATGGCATGAATGTTTCTTTGTTTCAGGAAAGAGCTGGTGTTAGTGCTTGAGAGATCTCTCTGTTGCTTATCAATAGCCATAAAATTGATTTATTTTTCTCTTTACGAATTCTTAGCTTGAAGATTGAAGTTTCTCTGGTGCCCCCTGGGAGCTGTTTCTAATTTTAAGTCTCTGTCCTCGTGCTTCATACAGAAGCACCCGAGGTGCGGAGCAGTCTCTGAAATCTGCTCCCTAATGACCTGGAATAGAGCTGAATTACTCATTCCTTCAATGCTTTGAGATAAGTCAGAAAACAAGGACAAACGTGCAGAATGAGTGAAATCTGTCTGAAGGTCAAAAAGAGAAGAGAGGCTGAGTGGGAAGTTCTGTATCTTCTAGCAAGATTAAAATTTTTCATGTGGAAATCCAAAATACTAAAGAATTGTGATAATATATTCTGTTGAGGGGAAAAACAAAAACAAATCCCAAATACTTACAGTAGCAGGAATACTTAACATAGTTCCCAAGCAACCAGATTCTGATGAGTATTTTAAACCCTGAACCCTCAGGAATTCTCCTAAACTATTGTTTTGCTCTCAAGGAAGGAGGAAAGAAAGTCAGAAAGAGTCTGTTTTCTTCTCAGAGTAGATTTTTAAAAGACTAGCTGATGCAGAAATGTTTGGCTTCTAGCACAAACACAGCAAGGATGTGAGAATTCTGAATAACAGTTTAACCCACTCCTAGCTGCACACAGATACGCAGACACATATCCCACGTGTTAAGTTCTTTAGCCTTAAGGAGAGGATCATATAAGCAGCAGGAAAAACTTTTCACGTATATTGCTTCACCGAGATTTTAGCATGGAGAAAGACTTCAATGATTAAGGCTGATTTAGCCAGTTAGTTTTGCTTTTTTTTTTTTTTTTTTGGTCTAAAGTTTATCTGGAGATGCTATTTACATCATCCTCTGATGGGGTTGTGTAGTACTTCTGGGACAGAGGTATTGCCTCAGTTTACTCGACCTGTTAAAACCAGAATGGCACAAAACTCATTCATTAGATGCTACAAATGATGAGTGGCATGATCCTTTGGGAAATGAAAGGGGTTATCGAAGAAATTGTGCTGGGTTAGAGGTGGCAATTATCAGATAACCTTTGCATTCAGTCATTGCTTCTTTCCAGATGGATCTATAAAGATACTGTATTTTCAAGCTGGGCTGTTTGAAACATGCAACGGATGCTAAATTATAGAAGTGTAATAGGATAATTATTCAAAATGCAAGGGGAAAAAAGTTTGGGAGGCAAACAAAAAGAGGAATCTGCTAGTGGGAGTGTTTGTCCCCTAGGTCTGTGTGCCTCTTTGCTGAGACTGCTCTCAGCAGTGTTGGGATGGAGAAGAAAAGCATTCCACCCGTGGTGTGTGCTGTATGTATGACTGGGGGACACGAGCAAGACACTTTCCTACACTTGACATGCATTCCCAGAGTCCATGTCACAAACTGGCCAGAATAGAATATGCTCAGGGAAAAGAAACTGCAACATTTCAAACAATTCTGTGTGCTCTGGAACACAGGCAGCTCAAGCAGACGCTTGATAAAGCACTTATGCCCTGGTAGCTTCTCACAGGTAAGATTTCCCTTCATCACGCTCCCTAAAGCAGCCTGACAGTGTGCTGAAACAGGATCTAGGATAAACTGCAGTTTGCACATTACAGTGTCTGAGGGTACTTGGAGCTTTTATCCTGCCTTCCTGTACACTGAAATCTGCTGGGATCCACATTCACTGTAAGGAGCTCTTCTGTGAGTGCCTGTGGCAAAAGCAGCGTAACTTTTTGAACGCCCCAAGCCCACCTTGTTACTAGGGAATGTTTTGGAGAGAAATGGGAAGAAAATGCAGAATTTTGAAGTTATTTTCGGCTGTCCTTTTCTGCCTCACCAAGTTCATCTCTCCCCTCTTGCTATTTTACCCTGTAGTCTAACAGCTTGCTCTCCCTATTGATGCTTCTTCAGTTATTTACCCCTCATGATTACTTACCTGATTTCCAGTGTCTTTTCTTCTGCCTCCTTTCCTTGCTTTAGCACTTTTCCTTCCTGTAATTCAGTTGAATCCTTCGTTCTTCTCAGTCGCTTGGTTTTATTCCTTTGGTATGGTTCTCTCTCTCTCTTCCCCTCTTTTTTCTCCACCCCCTTTCCATGTCACTTTCTGTCTTCCCCACCACCTCTCTGCCTTTCCCCTTCTTTCTTCGCCTACTTTTCTTGCCTCTCCCACAACCTCCAACTTAATCTTTCTATTTTCAAACCTAGTTTCCTGTTGTTTTTCCTTTAAAGACCATGGGTTTTATTCCTCCCTCTCCATTCTCAGCCTCTCCCTGTGCCACCCTCCCCATACTGACTGGATGCACTCACTGCTGCACTCCCTGTCCCTTCCAGTTGCTGCTGACACTGCTCCTTACACCTCCTCCCCCAGATAACACGCCATGGTCTAAGTCTTCCTTAAATAAAAAGAGACAAGGTTGCCCCACAGCTGCCCCAGCTAGAACCTTAGAAGGCTCTTCTGTGCAGGACATCAATGAAGGATTTTTTTTTTTTTCTGACTCATTCAGGATTAAGCAAAGCAGAATTTATGAGGAGTGGTGGGGTCCTGCACCTTTCCAAGTAAGGAGCTGGAGCACAGCTGCTGCCTTGTCCCACAGGGCACTTAGTGCTTCCCAGGAAGGTGTCCCAGGTCCCCTTACAGATGCGTACAGAACAACCTGCCTGTCAGGTGCGGTGGTTTTTGACAACCTCCCACATTCCTGTACACACACACACACACTGACGCATGAGCATTTGGGCCTTCCTTAGAAATGCTTTTGGCACACTGAGGTCTTACATTTTATGTACATGTCAAATTGAGCTTCTGAATCCTGTACATTGGGCCAAGAGATGAGGGTGAATTAGAAATACCTTCTGGCTTTGATAAAGGCTGATCTGAAAGAATCAGTGTCAGGAGAATGTGATTTGCTTAGAAGGCTTTTGCTACACATAGGCTTTGGCTGGTGTTCCTCTAGCAGCCCTTCCTGAGCTAGGTATCTCTCATCCACACCATAACTCCCCAGTTGTCTCTGTACAGCAGTTACTGTAGATCATGAAGCAAAGGTAGCACTGAGAGTAAGCCACAGGACTGACAACTCTTCTAATCTAATCACTGTTCTCCTGCTAATTTAGTACCCCTTAATTCAGAAGATTGGATGCCAGGCTATGCAGGGATAGAGCTGTGCAGAAGTTACTCTGGATTCATGCTCTACGTGGGCACTCTCACCCTGAAGCTAGAAATGCACCTCCTTTTCAGAAGGGCAAATCTCCCTCCTGCTATATCCTCACTGATGACTATTGCAGGACGTGCGGTACGTTTCCATAACAGTTCAGTAAACTGATAATGAGAAACAAATAATTGTTTGCCACTGCATTTCTAACTTTATTGAAGGGTCTCCTGTGACTTCAAAGAAAATAGGAATACTTATGGAGTTCATTTTCTCTCTCCTGCATAACAGTATTATGCCTGTGATTATCCCATTGATTTTATGCCAGTGAAATTGTCAAACATTTCATCATAGAAATGTCCAAAACAGGTATTAGTAATACAGCTCTACTTGTAGGTGGCTTTGGGCTTGTCAGGTATTTCTCACATGCAGTTCCTGTGAGCAAGCTGTCTGAAATGCAACATATGCTCCCTTCCATGCTGAACCTTTGTTATGCACTCAGGATAGTCAGATCTGATTTTTCTTCATCATTCCTTTGTATTTCTTAGCTGAGCATTGTTCCAGTGTGGAATGCTGTTTCCCCTACAATCAAACAGTTATGCTGTAGTTCTGTTGATGAATACAGGGAGAAGGTTTCTGTCAAATACACACATTGTGCACGTGAAGTGACTGCTACAAGCTCTTCTTTTTTCTTTTCTTTTCTCTCCTTTTTTTTTTTTTTTTTTGATGATGGTGGGATCTGTTTGAATTTTGATGCACAGAAGGGAAATGGTTGAAGGCCATGTAGGATACAAAAGACAGGAGAGTGGAGGTGTTGTATGGATGCCTCTGCCAGACCCTCAGTGTGCCCTTCCTCTTCTATTTCCACCTCTTTTCAGGAAAACACAGGCAGCTTCTCCAGCTCCATTGGTGAGCTGGGAAGAAGGATTTTCCTCCCTCCCCTAAGCAACTGCAATGCAAAACTTTTATGGCTTGAATGAAGAGATCAAGTGGAAGAGAATATTCCCCTAGATAGTGAGAACGAGTTGAACAGCTGACAGTTGCCTTGTACAGCTTGCGAATCTCAGCAGTTTGTAGTGCTGTAGAACACATTTTGCAGGAAAGGGAAATATAGGAGGTAAGGGAAAAACAGAACAACATGTGCCATCTTTTGATCAAAGGTAATCAGCTTTCTGGAGGTAAGATTTCTGATCTTCTTGGTAAAGAAACAGAAGACTGTATCTACCCAGTCTTCAGTGAGGCACAAGATATGCTGTGCCATAAAAAAACGAATGCAAAAGATTCAGCTGAAGAAGGCAGGGGTTATTAGAGAAATCCTCAAGTGAGTAAGAGACTGATGGGATTGAGACACCAGTTCCCTAACAGTCTGAAGGATGTTACCTGGGAGGCTGATCAAAGATGGTATTTAGGACTGATCTTTCGAACTGTTTGTGTTAATTACCTTGGCACCAAAAGTAGAAATGCTACTGAAATCTGCTGCTGCAGGAAAGCTGGGAGGTATTGTCGGGGCAAAGGTGGATTCCTGCACCAGGAGAACTGAAGGCTCTTCACGACTGGAGCGACTGAGGTGAGGTTTAAATTGGAAAATACAAAGTCACACACACTCCAGGACCTTGCTGCTGAGAGATTAAGGAAAATTAGCATTTGGA